ATTAATTTTTTTCGTCGTTGTTTTTTGAGACAATGTCTCACTTCAACACCCTTGGTAGAGTGCTATGGAGTTCACAGCAACCTCAAACTCTTGGGCTCAAGTGATCCTCTTGCCTCACCCTCCTAACTAGCACCTGCCATAATGCTCAGCTATTTATTTTATTTTGTTTTTTTAAGAAATGGGGTCTTGTTCTTGCTCAGGCTGCTCTTGAACTCCTGAGGTGAGGTGATCCACCCTCTTCAGCCTCCCAAAGTGCTAGGATTACAGGCATGAGCCACGGTGCCCGGCCACAGCTATTAATTTTTAAATGTTGACTCACTTGAACATGTGGTAGGTCTTAGATACTTTAGTAAGGAGAAAGTGGTTGACTCATTTCTGCCTTCCTTTCCCAGGTTCTCCGTGGAGGAGCAAGCCAACGCCCTTTGACTCCAAATCAGAACCAACAGGGACAGCAAACAGATCCACTTGTGGCAGCTGCAGCAGTGAATTCTGCTCTTGCTTTTGGACAAGGTCTGGCTGCAGGCATGCCAGGTGAGTTTGTGTTGTTGTTCCCAGTACTTTGGGGCAGGCCCAGGTGGGGAGGGGCTGAAAGTCTGAAAGTTTGTGCTTATACAGAGGAGAGCAAACCGTGTTTTTATCTCATTTAGGCTTTTCTTGATTTGGGGGCTGGCAAGGATGATAAATACTTGCCCTCACTTAGATAATAGTTCATTGATGAGAGCATTGTTCTGAGCCAGTCTTACGTCTTACTTTGTTGGACATACGTGAGTGTCCACATAGCTTGGAATATGTGGATTTTCTGTGGCCATGATCTATTTTCTTATTCAAGGTCGGTGATAGACAAAATGGTAAGCTGCTTTATTATCACTCTAAGGCTTGGTTTTTGTGTGATATTTTTGAGCAGCGTGAGTAGGAAGAAATTGCTGGTACTCCTTGAGTGTGTGTGTCATTCTTTACATTTCTAGAATTTCTCCCAAACCAATAATAGAGGTCATTTTTAATTATCTACCTCTGAAATAGATGTCTGTATAATATATTGAATATACATTGTTCTTGGTCCATTGTCATTTGATCCTTTGCTTTGTATGGGATTGGATGTACTTTGATATTCTTCATTTGAAATAAATCTTTGTGAGATCTCAGCTTAATTTTATGGACTTTTACTAACTGTGGAGCATAGGCAAATAGCCAGCCGGTCCATTTATGAATTCAATGAATTACTCACTTCATTTGTTTGGTCATTCCTGAGCATTTATGTCTTATTAAGAAATCACCTGTGCTTTCTCATATGGCTCAAAAGAGGATTTAAGGATTCCATGTTATATAATAGTAAAAGATCTGTTTATTGAAGTCCGTCTAGGTCTTTCCTGTTAACTTGCAGGATATTCATGCTTATATTATTATGTGGTATGAAAGTAGTATGGTTTCTGTAATCACTTTAGCCTCCATTATTTGTTTAGTTAGGAAAACATAGAAAAATTGCCAGTTGATGATTGATGGTAACCTAGGCTAGCACTTTGAAGAGCACAGAGCATTCCCTATCCTACCAAATTATCTTTGTTTTAACACTAGCAAATGGTAGTACTACCCTTTACTGTGCACTTAATATGTGCCAGAAATCATGCTCGATCCTTTCCTCCTTCCTTCTTTCCCTTCCTTCCCTTTCTGAGGGATACAGAGTCTCACTCTGTTACCCAGGCTAGAGTGCTGTGGTGTCAGCCTGGCTCACAACAACCTCAAACTTCTGGTCAGCAGTCATCCTGCTTCAGCCTCCTAAATAGCTGGGACTATAGGGACCCACCACAGTGCCCACTAATTTTTTTATTTTTAGTAATGGTGAGATCTTGTTCTTGCTCAGGCTGGTCTTGAACTCCTGAGATCAAAGGATCCTCCCGTCTTGGCCTCCCAGAGTGCTAGAATTATAGGCCTGAGCCACCTTGCCCATGTTTATCTTTTAATTTATTCTTCACAAGAATTTTATGAGGCAGGTAGTAATGTTATCCTTTATCTGAATGCCCCAGGATTCAGGGTTTTTCAGCTTTTATGTGGTGTTGTGGAATAGGGTGTAACTAGGTATATCTGTCTGACAGCACTGAGTTTGTAATTATTTACAGTATGCTGGTGTACAGGAGATATTGTTTCATATATGTGTTGGCTTGATTTTCTCAGGTTATCCAGTCTTGGCTCCTGCTGCTTACTATGACCAAACTGGTGCCCTTGTGGTTAATGCAGGAGCGAGAAATGGTCTGGGAGCTCCTGTTCGACTTGTAGCTCCTGCCCCAGTCATCATTAGTTCCTCAGCTGCACAAGCAGGTGAGCTTATGTCTTAGTGGACTCCTGTCATAGATCTAAAAGAGGTGACTGCAGTGATAAATGTGGAAATGCACTTTATTTGTCAATTCTCAATATAGCGGTTCTACTCTATAATATTTCAAAGAGATATCAGAACCAGTAAGTGATCTTGGGGGATTCTTGGCCTGGTTCTATTGAGAACATAGGAAGTTTTTGTGACATAACTCATGCAAAATGGCTCTGTTGGCAAAAGTCTAAGGCCAATATCACAGAAATCTCAGTCATTATTGTAAGATAATTTGAGGAGGGGTCTTTTTGGTATAGGTGCAGGGGTGGAGGGAGTGGGAAAGGACAGTGAGAAATGCCTGGAGCTGTATACAGCGTTGGGGGAGCAATAAGTTTTTTTTTAAACTTTAAACTTTAGTTTATATGGTAGGTTTTGTTTGTTTGTTTTTAATTAGAAACAATAGAGGGAATATTTAGAAGAGAGCAGCATGCTAAAATAGGAATTTGAGCCACTTTAGATTATCGATTACACGGTTCTGGGAAGAAAAACTCAACATAGATATTTATGGAATTCAAGATTGTAGGAAGTAGTTGTAAATGGGTACATTTGATATTTGTAATCTTTAAAAAAACTACAGAATCTTTAAAGCTACCAACATAGTGAGCGTAGTCCAACAGTTTTTTCACTTAAAAAAGAAAGTAGAAATAGAAAATAGAAACTTTACACTTAGGGATCAAAGACAGATTTGTATAATTTTTTTTTCTTTACAAGGTTTCTGTCTGTTTTGAAAAGATAAGCAGCATTAAAAGGGTTTTTTAAAAAGGATAAAAATGTGACTTGGAAATGTGGCCAATCTCTTTTATAAACAATTTGCTTTCTTCTTCATAGCTGTTGCAGCGGCTGCAGCTTCAGCAAATGGAGCAGCCGGTGGTCTTGCTGGAACAACAAATGGAGCATTTCGCCCTTTAGGAACCCAGCAGCCTCAGCCCCAGCCCCAGCAGCAGCCCAACAACAACCTGGCATCCAGTTCTTTCTATGGCAACAACTCTCTGAACAGCAATTCACAGAGCAGCTCCCTTTTCTCCCAAGGCTCTGCCCAGCCTGCCAACACATCCTTGGGATTTGGAAGTAGCAGTTCTCTTGGCGCCACCCTGGGATCAGCCCTTGGAGGGTTTGGAACAGCAGGTAGAAATCAGACTGATGTGCTGTTAAAACTGAATTTTAATTATTTTTATAATCTTCCTGGAACACTGACAATGCATGGAACCCTGGACAGATACTACAGGCAGAGCTGCACTGAATCCTGTGGGAATCCAGCCATCCCACATAATCTTTGAGATGATGGACTATTGAAATCATATTGTATAATTGGAGCCTATTTCAGGTCCATGCTCATGTTGCTGCTTATTTATACTCACGTAGTCAGTTTGTTTCAATGATTTGAACAGCAGGGGAGATTTTTGCAGGCATTGGGAAGAATATGAGGGAAACTATAGAAATATGGATATTAAAAGATGAGCGAGGAGGACTTACCAAAGATCACAGGGCTGAGTGCTTGGCCTGCAGGCTTTACAAAATTATGAGTTTTCTCCAGTCTTTTGAACAGAATTAAGGTGGATAATTGGGAGGAAGGATTTTAGAACAAGATATTTTTAATGTTTTGGTGGGAGAAAAAAAAGCAGGAATGCAGTAATGTGTACAGTGGGATACTTAACAGAGATTGTGAACCAATGTGATCCCCAGAGCAGAAGGGCATGTTTGGAAGAAAGTTTCTTAGTTGGAATTGTAACTCTTGAATGGACCCACTGAGAAAACAGGCTTTCGTATATGTCTTATGTAGAGGGGTGGTACCCCATTTACAAGTCTTTTTCCTGTATTCCATTTTTCTACTAGAACCTTTTTTGGTTGATGAACGACATTCTTTCTAGTCCATTTTCTTTCACCTTTTTCATAGCTCATGTGGCCGTCAGAGCTTTTTAACCCTCCCCATCCCATAATATATGACACCAAAGGAAGGTAAATTTGGCATACGTGTGATGGTTTGAACCAAAGTTTCATGTTTACCTGAGCCATGTCCTCTTTATTACTTTATCTGCCCCTAGAACTGCTACATTAACATTTAGGCTGTCTCTGCTGACAAATTTGCAGTGGTAAGGAGTCTGGATCAAGTATTAGGAACAGGTCACTGGGCTTGTTCTTCGAAGAACAGGCCTGTTCTTATCTGCATTGTTTTAATTCCATTTTAGTTGCAAACTCCAACACTGGCAGTGGCTCCCGCCGTGACTCCCTGACTGGCAGCAGTGACCTTTATAAGAGGACATCGAGCAGCTTGACCCCCATTGGACACAGTTTTTATAACGGCCTTAGCTTTTCCTCCTCTCCTGGACCCGTGGGCATGCCTCTCCCTAGTCAGGGACCAGGACATTCACAGACACCACCTCCTTCCCTCTCTTCACATGGATCCTCTTCAAGCTTAAACCTGGGTAAGAACCATTACTCTAACACCACCTTGAACTTTAGAAGTCTTTTGCCACCAATGACATTACAGATACTTTGCATAAGCAAAGGACAGTCCCTTTATCCTAGAAGTGTCCTAGGTGTTCTGTGACTTCTATAAATACCTCATACATAATATCATTCAAGTTGTACCTATAGGCAGTATAGCAGCATAATAGTTTTGGATTTATTAGAGTTTGGGTGCAGTCCCTGTATTTTCACTTCAGCTTTATCGTGCTTGGCTAATTTTATGCAGTGGCTAATTGGGTCTTTCATTGTACATACAGTACAGGTTCATATCAGTAAAGCTGGAAAACACAGACAAAAAATTTGTTCCCCTAGTATCACCACCTAAACTCCTCCATAATCAATATTTTACCTTATTTATTTTTGGACTTTCCCCTCCCCTGTGTATATATTTAATATCTTGTTTTCCACATAAAGCATTTTATTTAAAAATTTTCACCATATTCTTAAAAATTATTTGTAAATATAGATTTTTAAATCACACAGGCTGCTAATGAGTAGATAAGTTTCTCTATTATATATTTAGGTGGTTTTATGCATGGCATTTAAAAAATATTACTATTCAGATCCTAGAAACTGAAGAGGGAAAAGAGGATGTAAGAATAAAAAAAAATTATTACCATTTTTGGTAACATTTTCTAAATCAGGATGTGGGAGACTTTTTTTTTTCTAATTTCAGAAACATGGTACACACTCATTTCCCTCAGTTATTGATCAGTTTTGAAAAGCCGATTATTTCCTAGATGGGGAAAGTTGAGTCTCAGAAGTAGAATGACCCTATATTGTATTGTGCACGCCAGGACACTGTGTGTGTGAGTAAGGTGTTGTCAGTAATCACTGTGTGATGGTGGGCCTAAATCAGGATTGTCCTGGGCAAGGTTGCTAGCATGTGTGGTCTCTTTACCTAGAAGATTCTGTTTTTAACCAGCAGATGAAAAGTATCTTCACGAACTCAGAAGTAAGGACTGATGAAAAATAAATAGGGTGCTTCTGTTCGGAAAGACCAACTGGAAAGTCGTTTTTAAAAATCAAAGTTTGAAGTAGGTGAGGCAATAGAGTTATTATTCTAGGACAGTGTTTTTCAACCATTTTGATCTTACCTCATACGTGAACCTATTGTTAAACTTATGAGGCCCACTTAAATTATGTTGATCAAAATGAAAAAGAGTAAAAATAGAACATACCGTGGTTTTGGCTTTTCTTGAAAATAATTTAATCTTTAAAAATTTTTATGGCACACCAGTTGAAAATCACTGTTCTAGAACTAAGGGTACTATTTCTGAGTTTGAAAGAAGTGAGTTTCAAGGCCAAACTATGTAAATATGTTTATATTAATGTATACATTCATGAGTGTATATATTTTCAAGTTTTATACAGTAAGGACTATAGTTGTAGAATTCATTTTCTTAGGTTATATGTGGACATTACTTTAGAAAAGTCATAGGGACATTCCTGATTGGTAGGTCCATAATAGAGGACTAAGGGGTATATTGCACAAGTGTTTCCGAGTATACTATACCCCCTTGCCCAAGAGACTAGGGATTAATGCAAAATCAGGAGGGGGATGGATGTGAAAGTCCCAGTTCAATACATGGATAGAAGGAAAGAATTAATATTCCTTGGCCTAGCATTTACCTGCTAGTGTTAATAGTTTGGGGCTGACCCTGTGTCTCAGAACTTATACATCTTGCCTGGGTCATCTCAGATTTGAACAGATTTCCAGTGAAGCCTTGCAGTTTCATTATGCATCTTGTCACATGATATGCCTAATATATCTTGAACTAGTGCCTTATCAGATACAGAAATACATTGCCTTTTAACTTCTTCATTTGAATATTTGAACAATGTCATCCCATACTGAGTACTAAGTAAATTAAACCTGCAAAATGTTTTTGGGAATAGTCAGACCAGTATATTTTAGGTCTCTATAGTGAATATTCAACTCTGCTGTTGAAATGTGAAAGCAACCACATACAAAATGTAAATGAATGAATGTGTAGCTGTCTTTTAATAAAATTTTATTGATATAAATAGATGGTAGGCCACATGTGTTCTGTGGGTTATAATTTTTCAAATCCTGAACTAAATGCTGCTTTGTATGTGAAAATGGAGCTGGAAGTACTACTTTCATGGTTCCTGGTTCCTTTCCTCTTTTCAGTGTATTAGCAATTCAATGTACTGCTTCTTAATTCATGTTTTCCCTGTAAAGTATACATTATTTCTTGTATACTGCCTGCCTAGTTTAATGTTACTTTTAAAAAAAATTCACCTGTAAGTAATTTTATTTGTGCGCATTTGCATGGACTTCTGTTGTATGTAGTGCACACACCATAGATGCCATTCCATAGGAACTTTGTGTTTTGATTGATAGAACTTTACCTCAGCTCAATCTGTTTTCTTGAGAAAGGGTTCTTCTCTGCCTTAGTCCCAGCCTAGAGATTATAGACTTTTTATACTTGGTGTCTAACAATGTTTATACAAAGGCCCTAAAGACATTTTGGTGCAAGAAACTTACCATATATGTATTGACATCTTCTATCAGTTACTTGATACAGACCATCAGTTACTTGATCATGAGCAGCCATACTAAGCATTTTGTATTCATTGTGTTGAATACTCAGAAGAACTCTTTTACACATGAAAACTTAAACCCTGTGGGGTGTAATGAATTTCCTTCTCAGTACCACATTACTAGTGTTTGAACAGCCTATATCGCCCATAATAGGGATCTTTTCTCCATCTCATCGTTTCCATATTTCCTCCCTATAGCCAGACATGTGTTAGAGTGTTCTAAAAATAAAATCAGTGACCCACTCAGTAACTTTCCCCATTATTTATTTAAAAATCACTTATTGAGTGCCTGTTTAAGAAACTTCAGTGGGTTTCATTAGCAATTATTTAAAGTCCACACTTAAAGAAAAACCTTTATTGAGTTTTATTTCACATATCATTAAATTCACCCATTTCAAGTATACTATTCAATGAATTTTTGTAACTTTGAGTTGTGCAATCATCATAAATTCATTTTAGACTATTATCCCATTGGTAAGATCTCACCTACCTATTTGCAGTTAATCCCCATTGCTGCCCACAGCCCCAGTCAACCACTGGTCTATTTTGTATCTGTAAATCTGCATTTTCTGGACATTTCATGTAAGTGGAACCACGTGACGTGTGGACTTTTTTGTCTGACTTTTGTCCCTCTGCATGTGTTAGGGATTCTTGCACAATATAGTGTGTGTTAGTAGTTTGTTCCTTTTTGTTGAATCATCTTCCATTTTATGACATACTACCTTTTGTCTTTGCACTCACAGCTGACAGACATTCATTGGTTCCAGTGTTAACTGTTAGAACGAATGCTGCTGTGAACATTTGCATGCAGGTCTTTTTTTGTGGACGAGCCTCATTTCTCTAGAAATACAGAATTGCTGGATTTTATGTTAAATTTTTTGAGAAATGGCCGAACTATATTGTGCCATTTTATATTCCCATCACCATTGTGTAAGGATTCCAGTTTTTCTACTTCATCAACATTTGTTGTCTGTCTTATTTACTATAATTATTGTAGTGAGCATGAAGTGGTTAATTCCAAGATTGTGGTTTTATTTTCCATTTTCCAGATAAACTAATGATTTCTAGAGTTATCTTTTTACGTGTTCGTTAACCATTTGTTATCTTTGAAATGGCTGCTCATATTTTTCACCCATTTTTAAATTTGGGTTTGCTTTTCCCTCTTAGTATTGAGTTGTAATAATTCTTTGCATATTCTGGATACAAATCCTTTACCTCCTGGTCTTTTGCTTCCTTTCATTTTTAAAATTATATCTTTTAAAGTGTGACGGTTTTTCTTTGTGATGAGATCCCAATTTATTGTGCATTTGTAATAGGAAATGTTTCCCTAACTCAAGGCCTTGGAAGATTTTCTCTTATGTTTTATTCCATAAATTCTGTTACTTTACATCTTGCATTTAAATTTGGGATCTATTTTGAGTTAATTTTGTGTATTGTGTAAAAGTGAGAGTTCATCATTTTACATGTGGCTATCTAGTTGTTTCAGTTGTTTCAGCTAGCTAGTTGTTTCTGTGAATTTCATTGTCCAGGTCTTGTACTTCTTTGTTAAATTTATTTTTTTTTTTAATTAAATGATAACTGTATACATTAATGCAAACACAGGGTACAGTGTAGTGTTTTCATATACAATTTGAAATACTTTCATCAAGCTGGTTAACATAGACTTCATGTCATTTGCTTAGTCATTGTGTCATAAATTTATTCTTGTTTGTGTAATTTTTGGATGCTATTCTGAATGGAATTGTGTTCTAGTTTTATTTTTGGATTATTTCTTGCCTATAGAAAGACAGTTGATTTGTGCATATTGATCTTGGGGCCTAGCTGTAGTTATTAGTAGTTCTAGTTTTGGATGGCTTCTTTATAGTTTTCTAGCTGTAGCATGATATCACCTAAGAATAAAAAAACATTTTCTAATCTGGATGCCTTACATTTCTTTTTCTTGCATGATTGCACTGGATAGGACCTCTAGTATAGGTTGAGAATCTAGAATCTGAAATGCCTCCAAATCCAAACCTTTTTGAGTGTCAACTTGACGTTCAAAGGAAACGCTCATTGGAGCATTTCAGATTTCAGATTTGGGATCCTAAACTGGTAAGTATAACGCAAATATTCCAAAATCCTAAAAAATTGGAAATCTAAAACACTAGTAGTTTCAAGCATCTCAGATAAGGGATACTCAACCTGTACTGTGTTAAATAGAATAGATGAGAGCACACATCCCTCCCTTGTTCCTGATCTTGATAGTAAATGATTCATATTTTAAGTATCACCACTCACTTTTAGTAGATGTCCTGTTTAGCCTGAGAATGTTTCTTTGTATTCCAAGTTTGTTGAGTTTTTATTACTTTGTCATGAAAGGGATTGGGCTTTTGACAAGCACTTTTTCTGTATTGTTGATCACATGGTTTATAATCCTTTATTCTGTGACTGTAGTATGGTATGTCAATTGATTTTTAAATGTTTATTTAACCTTGCATTCTAGGGGTAATCCCACTTGGTTCTGTTAGATTCAGTTTGCAAATATTTTTGTTGAGGATATTTGCATTTGTATTCATGAAGGGCTTGTGTTGTTTTCCTTACTTGTGATGTGCTTATGTAGCTTGGTGTAGGTGATATTGACCTTATAGTATGAATTTGGAAGTGTGCCACTCCTGTCTATTTCCTGGAAGAGTTAGAGTCTTAACATTTTTCTTTAAACATTTGTTAAAATTCACCAGGTAATCCATTGTGGCCTGAGTACTTATTTGTGATAAGAGTTTTATTTACTAATGCAAGTTCTTTACATAAAATATCTTGTAGGTTCAGATTTTGTGTTTCTTCTTGAGTCAGTTTTGATAATTTGTGCCTTCCTATGAATTTGTTCATTTCATCTAAGCTTCCAGATTTAGCATAACATTGTAATATTTAAATATGTGAAATTCTTTTGTTAATTTCCCCCTCCCATTTTCCCCACACTTGAATGTGTATATATAAAAGTTTTTGTGACCCTGAGCAAGATGGATGTTAGAAGTGTATCGTTGGGCTTAAGTATGTGTCATATTCCTCAATTTAATAGTATCATTTCCACAATCATTTGTAATAGTTAATTATGAGTATTATTAACAACTAGGTCTGTAACCCTCATTTGTAGTTTATTATGTGGTTAGATAAAGCACTTAGGCTTTTACCTGTGACTAAAATATTGATCTCTAGTAAATTCTACCTCCCATCTCAAAGAGAAAAAGAATAAGGAATATAAACATACATACATATATATATATATTTGCTAATATATTTATATATATCCCAAAAGTCTGGTTCTTAATGGTTTTATGTCCTGCCTACACATAGATCTCTTTTCATCCTATACCTGTTCCCTCCCCATTTCTTGGAATGTTCCTTCTTGCTTATGTTTTTTTTTTTGGGAGACAATCTCACTTTGTCACCCTTGGCATGGTAGAGTGCTGTAGCGTCACAGCTCACAGCAACCTCAAACTCTTGGGCTCAAGCGATTCTCTTGCCTTAGCCTCCCAAGTGGCTGGGACTATAGGCGCCCACCATGGTGCCTGGTATTTTTAGGGATGAGATCTTGCTCTGGCTCAGGCTGGTCTCAAACTCATGAGCTCAGGCAATCCACCCACGTTGGCCTCCCAGAGTGCTAGGATTACAGGCAGGAGCCATCGCACCTGGCCTTTGCTTGTGGGTGTTTGCACTATCCCCAAGCTGTGCCCTTTAGAAGCTCTTAAGCATCAAGAAGTAGCACATACAGTTTTTTAAGTGCATATTTGACAACCTCCAGGCTTTTTGTGTGCACTGGAAAGAAAAGTGTTGTGCCTTTTCATTCCTACAGTAACAAAATAAGAGTAAAAATGAGCTCAAAGTTTATAATCACCCCAGGGCAAAAGAATATAAGCATTTAGTTTTCTTTTATCATGATAGAATTCCTATCTGCCTAAAATTTATTCTTTCTGTTCTTTCTGTTCAAGGTTCTATGTGTCTTTAGTCTTTCAGGAAATGCAAAACTTAAACATAAAATGCCTTTCTCTGTCCTTGCTTGAACTGAAATAGGGGTTTCTAAGTTATTGATCAGTAACCTAGATCAATTTCAAGTAGTTTACCATTTGTGTGTGATTTTAGGTACTTCCTTATTCTCAATCAAAATGCAGTATTTTGTGATTTCTACCTGGTTCTTTTAAAGAGACTTACCATCTGTAAAACTAACCATTTAAAAATGAATGTATTTCAGGTGTATTATTGTCATGCATTACAAATGATCTGTCTTAGGTTTATTTTAATTTAGGGCTACCTTGGTGCAATGTTGGGGAGAACTTATTTTAAAAATATTTTGGCGAACACTCCAGATGTTAGACCTTGGGAGTTTCTTTAAGGTGGGAAGGCAGGGCTTTGTTCATTAGAAATCTGTTAGACTTATGAGTACAAAAAGCAAATAAATGAGAACATTCTACATAGTTAGAGGATCTAACACTAGATGGTCACTGGCAGAAAACCCTTTTACAGAACTTTTTTTTTTTTTTTTTGAGAGTCTCAAGCTGTCACCCTGGGTAGAGTGCTGTGGTGTCACAGCTCACAGCAACCTCAAACTCTTGGGTTTAAAGCCATTCTCTTGCCTCAGCCTTTCAAGCAGCTGGGACCACAGGTCCCAAAGCCTGGCCATTTTTTGGTTGTAGTTGTCATTGTTATTTGGCAGGCCTGGGCTAGATTCGAACCCACCAACTCAGGTGTATATGGCTGGCGTCCTAAACACTTAAACCACAGGCGCTGAGCCCCTTTTATAGAACTTCATAAAATAGCTGAAGCACATAACAATTTAAATACAACATTTAAGCCCTTATTTTCTATGGAAAGTTGTCATAGGACACAGTCCTGTGAAATCTACCACTGACAAAATGAATACTTTAGAGAACAGTGAAGTCAGTAAAAGAGGCTCCTCCCTCCTTTTTTTTTTTTTGGCCTCAGCCTCCCAAGTAGCTGCGACTACAGGTGCCCATCACAATGCTTGGCTATTTTTTAGAGACACGGTCTTGCTCTTGCTCAGGCTAGTCTTGAACTCCTGAGCTCAGGTGATCCACCTGCCTCTGCCTCCTAGTACTGGAATTACAGGAAGTGAGCCACTGCCTAGCACCACTTAGGCTCTTACCTGTGTCTAAAAATACTGATCTCTAGTAAGTTCTACCTCCCATCTCAAAGAGAAAAAGAGTAAGGGATATATACATATGTATAAATGTTTGCTAATATATATATATATATATATATATATATTTAATATATCTCCAAAGTGTGGTTCTTAATGGTTTCATGTCCTGCCTACATGTAGAGTTCTCTTCATCCTGTACCTGCTCCCTCTTCATTTCTTGGAATGCTCCTTCTTGCTTATGTTTGTTTATTTATTTTTTTTGAGACAGAGTCTTTGTTGCCCTTGGCATAATAGAGTGGTGTAGTGTCACAGCTCACGGCAACTTCAAACTCTTGGGGCTCAAGCTATTTTTTTGCCTCAGTCTCCCAAGTAGCTGGGACTACAAGCGCCTGCCACAATGCTCTGCTAAAAGTGACAGTTTTTCTATCCTCTGTGTTTCATCCTTGGCCTGGGATGCTTTATAATCATTCCTTCAAAGCATGCTTTCTCAGCAGTTCCCTATAATAAAACAGACTAATCGGGATAACTTGATGTTTTGGGGTGGATTTCAGATGGCAGAGCAGAGGTTATTCAAGAACAAAGGGAATCTCCATGGAGCTCACAGTGGAAGTAAACCACTGACATTTTGGTGTGTTTTGTGCTTTCTGAGTCCTTACTGCTATTGCTCAAGTGCTGGGTGCACATGGTAGACATGTTCCTTCTGTTTATTAAGGGCTATGCAACTGTCGCTCCGTTTTTGCTAGCAATATACTGTCAGCAGTAAAAGTGATTCCCCTCTCCATCTTTGTGTAAAAGTTTCCTTCCAGGTTGGTGAGTTGGCATTATAAAAGTCATGACACTAATAGAATTGTCTTAACACAAAAGGAACAGAATTGAAGAAATCAGAGATGACGTAGGCTTTCATATATGGGGTGCTTTTTCTTCTCTTGAATGAAATTCCTTAACAATGGTCTTAAGTTCTTCTGTTCTGTAACCAACAGGAGGACTCACAAATGGCAGTGGAAGATACATTTCTGCTGCACCAGGCGCTGAAGCCAAGTATCGCAGTGCCAGCAGTGCCTCCAGCCTCTTCAGCCCCAGCAGCACCCTTTTTTCTTCCTCTCGTTTGCGATATGGAATGTCCGATGTCATGCCCTCTGGCAGGAGCAGGCTTTTGGAAGATTTTCGAAACAACCGGTACCCCAATTTACAACTGCGGGAGATTGCTGGACATATAATGGAGTTTTCTCAAGATCAGCATGGGTCCAGGTGAGGACTTGGCTTTGGCACTTAAGGTAACTGAAATCTTAATGCCTTTAATTCTTTGCTTCAGATAGGTATACTAAAAGAAATTGCCATAAAGTAATTTAAATAAAGCATGCCTTTGGTATGCTTCCCGTTATTTATTTCAAAGGGATGTGATGTGAGGGTCACCAGAAAAACAAGTGTTTTGAAGCGAGTCTTTGATAGTCCAGAGTACATGCTTAACCTTTCTATCTTTGTGAAAGATTTAGCTTAGTTTTTCTAGTTTGTACGAATCTCCAAAAAAATCTACAGTGTAATAAACAGAAACACTAACACAAAGACATATGCATACTTTTGCTACCATAAGCATTATGAACAATCTTTTGCTCTCAAAAGCACACTATTCAGATACAAGTTTGGATCTTGGCAGCGTAAGACAGCACTACCACTTTTCTTTGTTGTTCCATTCTATGGAACTGACGGTTTGTGTAGTCACCAGAAAAGAAGCTATTACAGGAGACAGAATTCAGTGGGCTACCCTTCCTGCCTCGCTGCACCAGTGGGCTTCACAGAAAGGGAGCCTGGTCCTGGAGATCAAGTAGAGTTTTGGTGGCATCACCATTCCCTCTTTCCCATTTCTCTTTGTTTCTGTTTCTTTTTCTTTGTCCAGCAAAGCAGCTTCTAAAGAACCTACCTCCTCTTTAAGGTCTGCCAGCTTGCTTCTGGGCAAGGATTTCTCATATTTGGTTCACATAGGCCAGATTCAGAGGCAGATTTATTTTCTTGAACTAAAAAATCCAAACTGAGTAGCTGCTATTTCAGAAGATAATGAATACTGCTTTGTATGAAAATGAGTAAAAGAGTAGTAAGGACCATCATCGTTGAGTTCATTGATATGGGACTGGTTTCTAAAGGCCAAGGTCAAGTAGAATACAGCTTGTGCTACATCTGCCTCCCCTCCCTCCTCTCCACTTCTCCACCTCACTGCTACCCAGCACATAAATACACTTCAGTACTTATGCCCTGCTGGAATGCAGTGTCCTAAAATTTTAAATATACCTTTATAAGTCAGTTAAATTGGAGAGTACTTCCTCTTTTTTAGAAATTCTTCCTTGAAAGTGAATTGAAGTGATGAATTTATGTAACATTCAGTTTCTTATGTGCATGTGTGTATACACACGGAGCACTCATGCATAGTTTCAGAATGGATACATTATATAAATTGAGTGAGCAGTTGCGTACTTCCAAGTCTTCCTTAAATGTTATGATTGCCCTTTTTACTTTGTATTTCAGATTCATTCAGCTGAAACTAGAGCGTGCCACACCAGCTGAGCGCCAGCTTGTGTTCAATGAAATCCTTCAGGCTGCTTACCAACTAATGGTGGATGTGTTTGGGAATTATGTCATTCAGAAGTTCTTCGAAGTAAGCCTTTGTTCATTCTGTTCTTTGACTTTACAGAATCTCCAGCGCATTTTGATTTTCATTAGCCCTTGTAATATCATTTCTGAAAATGAAATGTGTTTGGACTTTTTGAAGAGTTTTTTAGTGGTTTTCCAGTTCATAAGCAGTAATCTTGTGTATTCTCTATAAAGTACCCAACAGATGATGCCTATCTGTTATTTATTTATTTATTTGAGGCAGAGTCTCACTTTGTTGCCCTTGGTAGAGTGCTGTGGTGTCACAGCTCACAGCAACCTCCAGCTCTTGGGATTAGGTGATTCTCTTACCTCAGCCTCCTGAGTAGCTGGGACTACAGGCGCCCACCACAATGCCCGGCTATTTTTTTGTTGCAGTTTGGCCGGGGCCAGGTTTGAACCTGCCACCCTCGGTGTGTAGGGCTGGTGCCCCACTCACTGAGCCACAGGCGCCACCTCTCTATCGGTTTTTTAAATGTGTTTTGAGAACTGTTGTCTCTATTTAGGATCCACTACATTATTTCTGATTATTATAATAGTTTCTCTAAATGTGTAACTTTTGAAGGAATAATCCATGTAAGGTAATTTTAGCAAGAGCATAATAAAATACAAAGATAAATGAATTAAAAATAAGTTCCCTAGAGAATTGTCAGTGAACACCAATTCCAGTATTATTCATTATATATTAAAGTTACAAGAATTGTTAGATGCTTCATCTTAGATGATTGTACCTGTTGATTTGAATAATGTCCGCTCTTGTTATCATTGTCTTTGGTAAAGATTAGAGAAATTGTTGGGTTAGTAATGTCTGTTTCCTCTAATGTAAAATTTGAGAGCGGCAGGGATTTTTTGCTAACTCTTGTAAGTATTGGTTCTGTGGTGTTTATAACCCCGAGTTATAAATCTAGAATGACATGAAATGTGTGGAAAATGCTAGAACTCTGTATATGTAGTATTACTTGCCACATAACAGATTTGTAAATGTCTTACATATCATTTTGATTGATTTGGATGATGGGAAAAATAAAAGGCTTACAGCCTTTATTTCTCAACTTTTTCCATGAAGACGTATGTTCTTTGATCCTGAATTCTCCACCTGTAGACTAAGAAGCCAATTTAAGTGTGATTCTTACATCTTTTATTTTAGAATGCCTTTGCTATGCCATTTTGTCACAAGTGTAAACATACAGAGCTCTTTACCTCTGGAGCATAATGCAGCTTGGGGTGGCAAAATGTACTCTATGGTAGCCATGTGATTTAGGGCAGGCTAAAGAACTTCCTTGGACTTTAGTGCTCTTGTCTGGAAAAAATAGAGCATTGGACAAGCTAATAATTCATAAAGTCTCCTGTAGTCTCGTTGTGCTACTCAAACATTAAAAGCCAAGAACAGAAAATCATTTAAAGTAGAATTTTAACTTTGATTATACTAACATTTCCCTGCAGAGTTTGTTGCCTTGATAAATGAAAACATAAGTTCTTGAAATGATTTAGATAGAACACTAATTCCAAATGGAGTGTGCATGTTTACTTTGGCTTAAACTTCATGTAGATGAAGGAACTTTTCTTTTCTTTTCTTTTTTTTGAGACAGAGCCTCAAGCTGTCCCCCTGGGTAGAGTGCTGTGGCATCACAGCTCATAGTAAACTCCAACTCCTGGGCTCACGCGAGTCTCCTGCCTACACCTCCCAAGTAGCTGGGACCACAGGCGCCCGCCACAATGCCTGGCTGTTTTTTGGTTGCAGCCATCATTGTTGTTTGATGGGCCTGGGCTGGATTCGAACCCGCCACCTTAGGTGTATGTGGCTGGCGCCTTAGCCGCTTGAGCCACAGGCGCTGAGCCGATGAAGGAACTTTTCAACCCATGGACCTTAAGACACCTGAAGTGCAGATTTGCTGTATTTACGTCTTCACCAGACATAGTCTAAAGCTCAAAAAAATAGTGTCACTCACACATAATTTATTTTAGAATAAAATTCATTTAATAGTATTAATGAATTAAGACAGCTGTGAGGAATTACATATTTGCTTAACAGATAACAGTAGTGAACCTACTACTGTTGGGTATCTGAAAAAAAATTTTTATTGTTGTTGTAATTTCCTTTTATTTCCAATACCAGATCTTCATTGCAGTTTTGAGTTACTCAGAACATCACTTTTCAAAAGCAACTTGGATCTAGTACCTTGTAATGTTAAAATGGCCTTGACCTCTTTTTTTTTTTAATTAAATCATAGCTGTGTACATTAATGCATTTATGGGATACAATGTGCTGGTTTTATATACAATTTGAAATACTTAAACTAGTTAATGTAGCCTTCACTGCACTTCTTAATTATTGTGTTGAGACACTTATATTTTACACTTACTAGATTTGACATGTTGAGAAACTTTTTAAAATGGAATTTTAGGCTGGTGTACTGGCTCATGCCTGTAATCCTAGCATTCTGGGAGGCTGAGGTGGGTGGATTGCTTAAGCTCAGGAGTTTGAGACCAGTCTGAGCAAGAGTGAAACCTCCTCTCTAACTTAAAATAGAAAAATTAGCTGGATGTTGTGGCAGGCGCCTGTAGTCCTAGCTACTCGGGAGGCTGAGGCAAGAGGATCACTTGAGCCCAAGAATTTGAGGTTGTTGTGAGCTATAACGCCATGGTGCTCTACCCAGGGTGACAAAGTGAGACTCTGTCTCAAAAAAAAAGAACATTCCTTGTTATTAGAGGTTGCAAACTGCTGGCTTAAAACAAAGTCTTTTAAAGTAAAAGGTTTAGTTGATCATAGGTAACAGGACTAAAAGAGGTTATGTTAATGGTTGCTACAGAATAATGAATGCTTTACTTTCTCTGGTTTCTTTCCTTCTACCTAAGTAATGGTGTTCACCCACACATTGTGTCTAGTTTGGCAGCCTTGAACAGAAGCTGGCTTTGGCAGAACGAATTCGAGGCCATGTCCTGTCATTGGCATTACAGATGTACGGCTGCCGTGTCATCCAGAAAGCTCTTGAATTTATTCCCTCAGACCAGCAGGTAATTGTAAGTTTCCCCTTTAACTTTTCTCTTGGTGTTTGGTGTTTTCCGTGGTACATGTAGTGAATCCTGTAAATCTGTCAAGTCTTCAGTTTTCTTTTATAGTTTTACTTCGGTGCTTAATGGCTATTTTTCCGTGCATGGCATTCATGAACTGTGCAGTTAATTTTGTAATTTTATACTGGACCAAGTGTTCTGTGTTCCAGCCATTGGTTTTCTACACTCCTTCCTTTGACCAGAACTTAATCTTTAGTAGACACAGTTTTATAGGTAGATTTGGTTTGCCAAGAATGAAAGCAGATAAAATGCTGTCCGTTGTTTTCTTCAACCTGAACTGAGCATTCCAACAACTCAACTTTCCTTGAATGCACATTCAGTTTCCTTCACTCTCTCTGTCTTGTTCCTTCACCAACATTTCCTGAACAAGGGCCTGCCCAGTGTAGAGCGTGGCCGCACATATGGGCTTTAAGCCCGATCTGTGCCAGGACCAGCTGCACAGAGATGACTAGGACCTGGTCCTGCCCACAGAGCGCAGTCTGGTGGGGAAGAGCAGTGCAAGGCAGTGTCTAGAGAGCTCTGAGAGGGGTTGTTCACCCTGCACAGAGTCCCTGAGAGACAGCTTTACAGGAAAAGGCAAGGCTAAAGAGGACTTAAGGTGGAGGGGCAGAATCCAGCAGAAGAGGCCTAGGGCTCATGGAGCTGTTCCAGCCAGCACTGCACAGACCACAGAACCCAGGAGGCAGAACAGACCCACAGGCAGGGTGTGCTGGGCTGTGTGCTAGGCAGTGCCTCCAGCCTCGAGCCTTGGGTACTTCTTATCTGAACCCTCAGCCTTTGGGCTCTGAGCTCCCTCAGCTCTTCTTCCTTGTGGGGTTGGTTGGCCATTGTCTGGCAGTGATGACCCACTTGCCCTCACTGAGAACAAAGTTCGCTAATGAGAATCTTTGTTACGGACTCAAGTTCTGAGCCAGACAAGACACCCACCTCCTCCAATTCAAACAAAGCCAAACTACTGCACTGGTGTTGGCAATGGCAGCTGTAGGCTGTAGGGGGTCCAAAGTCCTTAACTGAGTGTCATAGATAAGTGGAGTCAGGGTGCTCATAAAGCAGAGGGAGTGTTGGAGATACACATCAGGTTTCAAGTTCATTCATTTTGTGCTCAGTTCTATTAGAAATGCAGCATTAATAAGAAAGTGTTGTTGGTAAGTAATTTCAAGCAGATGTGAAGTTATTTTTATTTTTCTTGTAATGCATTATCAATTTAAATTTTTCTTAACATTTTTATATATGTGTATCTTCTTAAAGTTTTTTTAAGTGTGAACATTTCTGCTTCTTTCTTGACCATAATGCCCACTTGCTCAAAGAAAGTAGAAGCATGATGGTTTCTCATGTATTTTTTTACCATCTTTTCCCATGGAGGTGGTGAATTGTTGATTTTTTTTTTTTTTGGTAGTCGGTTTTTAAATTGTATTATTACATCATAATAGACTTTAAAAAAAATTAACCTCTCTTCTTTCCCTCCAAGCTCTGTTGTTCTTTTCTGTCTTACATTTCTCTCTCTCTCTCTTTGTAGAGTGAATAGAATGTATATAAAATTTTTTTTTGTGGTCCTGTTTTTCTGTGGTGTCTTGTTCTGGGTTTGTCCTGCTATAGACAATATACTATTTTGTAGATGCACGTTTATTATTTAAGGTGCAGTTAATTCATTTTCAGTAGAATTTTTACTTCTTATAGATCAAGAAAATATTTAGGGAAGTGATTTCCTTCTCATTTTCTTTGTGTTTTCTTGTCTCTATAGAAATGTCATTTTTTATCATTCCTATAATTACATTTCCAGGGAAGTTATTCTTTCTGTCCATTAACTTTTGCTTCCTTACTTCCTGGCATTGTAATCTTTAATTTCTTTAATTAGATGCTGTCTTAGTTTGACATACTTAGAGATTTAAAATACCCATTAATTAACATGACTATTTTAAAGTGATTTGTGGTCTTCTGACATAAATACAGAATCGCACAGTTGTGAAAACAGAGATTAGAGACAGCAAGGAAATTGGGCAGCAGGTACTAGGGCATAGCATGGTACAGGTACTTAGCTTTAACATACCCAAGACCTGAGCCGTGAGTTTGGGGAAAGAGCTCTGGGCAGAATCCTAGTGTTTCCTGTTCCATATACCCTGTCATCTTCCCCCATTTCTTACACTTTTCTCAAACCCTCAGCTTCTGGCTATTCCCTGTATTCTCCAAGTTTGGATACTTTTCATTAATTAACCATGAGAACCATTCCTGCCAACTTTGCAGTCATTGTATCCTCGTGGAGAGGTAATAGATGTTAGAGGCACAGCTTCTAGAATTCTGATTCCTGTCACTTTCTATAGTTTTAAATATGTGAGTTAGGGCCGGGTGCAGTGGCTCATGCCTGTAATCCCTGCACTCTGGGAGGCCAACGTGGTGGATCGCCTGAGCTCACAGGTTCGAGACCAGCCTGAGCCAGAGCGAGACTCCATCTCTAAAAATAGCCAGGCGTTGTGGTGGATGCCTATAGTCCCGGCTACTTGAGAGTCGAAGGCAAGAGAATCATTTGAACCCAAGAATTTGAGGTTACTGTGAGTTATGAAGCCATAGCACTCTAACTGGGGTGACAAAGTGAGACTGTGTCTCGAAAAAGAGAAAAAAAAATGTGCCAGTTAACCCCTCTCAGTCTCAGCTTCTTCATATATATGAGTAGAGGGAAGTGTGCAGGGTAATTATAGTCAACAGTTTGGTTTAATTCCTTGGATTTGAATCTAGGTCTATGATTTTGTAAAAGTCTTGGTTTTCTCTGTCTAAAACAGCGTCCACTCCTTAGGAATGTTAGGAGAAGTCAGTGAATTAAAACACGTTAAGCACTTTAGAGGTATCCCTTACTTAGGGTAATCTCTAGATTAACTGCTGTGGTTATTAATAGCACATACCTCACAGGGTTGTTCTAAATAAAAACTTGATGAATTATATACGTGAAATTCTCTAATACAGTGTACAGATAGTATCCCATGTGATTAGTTTTACTTTATAGTAGTATGAAAGTGATAGACATTCACCAGAAATGGTACTTTGAATTTTGGTATTTTATTTTTTTTATTATAATTTTTTTTTTTTTTTTTGAGACAGTCTCACTATGTTGCCCTCAGTAGAGTGCTGTGGTGTCACAGCTCACAGTAACCTCAAACTCTTGGGCTTAAGCAATTCTCTTGCCTCAGCTTCCCAAGTGGCTGGGACTACAGGCGCCTACCACAGTGCCCGGCCATTTTTGTTGCAGTTGTTTAGCTGGCCTGGGCCGGGCTTAAACCTGCCACCTTCGGTGTATATGGCTGGCGCTGTAACCACTGTAAAACAGGCACTGGGCCTAAAAATTTTTTTTTATGAAATAGGCTTTGTGTTAGACTAGTGGTTCTGAACCTTCTTGGTGCTGCAGCCCTTTTTTTTTTTTTGGAGACAGAGCCTCAAGCTGTCCCCCTGGGTAGAGTGGCATGGCTTCACTGCTCACAGCAACCTCCAACTCCTGGGCTCAAGCGAGTCTCCTTCCTCAGCCTCCCACGTAGCTGGGACCACATGCGCCTGCCACAACGCCCGGCTATTTTTTGGTTGTAGCCATCATTGTTGTTTGGCGGGCCCGGGCTGCATTCGAACCCGCCACTTTAGGTGTATGTGGCTGGCGCCTTAGCCGCTTCAGCCACAGGCACTGAGCCAGTGCTGCAGCCCTTTAATAGTTCCTGTGGGTTGTGACCCACAGGTTGAGAACTGCTGTGTTAAGCAGTTTTGTCCAACTAAAGCTATGCTTTTTGGTAGGTTAAGTATATTAAATGCAGTTTTGACTTACAATGTTTTCAACCCACGGGAAGTTGAATAGCATCTGTAGTTGATAATGGGCTCCTTTCTATTTGAAGGTGTCTACAATTTTTTTTTAAAGTGCCAAGAGGTCTTTTATAACTTTAGAGATCCTTTTGGGGTAAGTTTGTTTTTATTAAACGTACTACATAGTAACACATAAGAACCCAAATCCTTTCTTGTTGCCATGTTGTCGTTGTGCCACAGTTGAGTTGTTTCACTTTCATCATCGTAGATGCCCTGTTCAGTGCTTTTGTGTTTGGTAAGGTGAGCGTCAACTGTCCAAGTGTTTGCTTGCTGTGATTCTGGTGGTGCTTTCTTTCTTTATTTCCCATAGAATGAAATGGTTCGAGAACTAGACGGCCACGTCTTAAAGTGTGTGAAAGACCAGAATGGCAATCACGTGGTTCAGAAATGCATTGAATGTGTACAGCCCCAGTCTTTGCAGTTTATCATCGATGCATTTAAGGGGCAGGTAAGCAACTTAGGAAAAGCCAATGGAAACAAATTCATGATCAATTTCTTTGTGGGGAGAGAACAGGATAAGATTTGTGGCGTATTCTCAACATGCTTAATATATTTTAGACTTCAGTAAAACGCAGTGTTCTATACTGGTGTCAAGTACCTAGCTCTGTGTTGACAAGTCTCTTCCCTTAACTATCCATGGCCTCCTCTCCATTATTAATGCAGATGCCTACTCAGGCTGGCGTGAAACAGTACCATTGAGTCGTTAAGATAAAATCTCATATGTGAAGAATAAATATTTTCCCATGGTTAAGTACTATTATATGATGTTTCACAGTTTTTATCATTTCTTAAAATTCATGTCTTTTACAGGTTATGTGTGAATGTATCTTTAAAATAACAAGGTACTTCTTGCTTAAAATTTTTTGGAGAGAATGTGGTTCAGGTGGGTTTAAACTGTATTAAGTAGCCACGTTAACTGGAGATAGCTTCTAATTTCTCTTGTTTACCTGTGTGCCCTAAGTTTTTTCTTTTCTTCTTCTCTCTCTCTTTTTTTCCCCCAGTTTTTGGCCAGGGCTGGATTTGAACCCGCCACTTCCGGCATATGGGGCCAGTGCCCTACTCCTTTGAGCCACAGGCGCTGCCCCCCCTAAGTTTTTTCTTAACACCAGCCTTCAAACAGAGTTGTTACTTTTGTGTACCTTGTGTTTTCCAGAATTTCCTATGAATTGGCTATAGTTAACTTCTTTGGTCAAAAAAACAGTGTCCTTACACCTTCCTAAACTGGTTAAGACAAGAGATTAAAACATACCCTGCCTTGGGTGTGTGAAATTGGTCTTTTTTTAGAAATGAGAAAAAGCAGTAGTTTTTCATGTATAGTTGTGTGTGCTGCTAAGCCTAGATTAAAATGAGGTGTTTGGGTTTTGCTGTTTTCTTTAATTACTGAAATGATTAAGTAGGTTACAGACAGCAACGTAGGTGGGAGTTTCTGAGTTAATAAATAAAAGGTAAGCCTGTTTACTTTAAAATTAAGTAAGGTATTATGTTTGTGGAAATAAACAACCAAAAAGGTAAAACGATTAAGCCACCAGGAAAGAACATTTTCAAGATGAAACTGTCAAAGAATTAGTTGATAACTAGAATATATAAAGAACCTCTGTAATGAAAGAGAACAATACAACATGCAAAAATGGGATCCCAAACACAATTTGGTATTTCAGAAAAGAAACATAAATTTCCAATAGACAATGGGGGGAAAATGCTGCATTCCATTAACAAGGAAAATGCAAAATGAAGCCACAAACTATTTTCCATTTTCCACCCATCGATTGCTGCCCTGGCAGGAATGTGAGGTCTGGAACATTGTACATTGGTTAAAAATAATTTAGTATTGTCTTTCAGACTTCAGCCTTTTTTATTTTCTGTGATCTAGCATTCCTGTCCTAGGTTTATAATTGGTGAAACATCTGTTCATGTAGACTGTGAGACTTCCTTAGACATATTTTAAACAGCATTATTTCTCTAATAGGAAAAGACTAACAATCCAGACAACCATAAGCAGATTAGAGTTTTAAAAAACTTCATATACTCAGCCCACAGCTTCCTACACACCTATACAGAGTAAACTCCAGAAACTGCAGTATTACGAGTGAATGTTGGAAACATAATGTTGGGTCAGATAAGTTAAGTTCCTCTAGACCAACAGTTCTCAACCTGTGGGTCACGACCCACAGGAACTGTATTAAAGGCTCATGGCATTAGGCAGGTTGAGAACCACTGCTCTAGACGGTGAGCGTAGCATTTTTGTAAACCTAAACTCAGCTAGAACCATGTGGTAAACTGCTTAAACATATAGTTATAAACATAAAGCTACATGTATAAAAGCAAGTCTATACTGACTGACACTTGGTAAGCTTCCAGTATTAGCTGTTGTTACTGCTCTTATTATTCTTAAGTACAGATCTAAGGTGCATATCATTCACCTCGGAAAGGCAGTGTCACGGTGGGACAGTCTGGATCTGAAGCCTGTGTGCTTTTCTGTTACTCTTAGTCAGAAGAGGAATGGTTTCTTATTGCTGAAAAACAACAGTTAAATTCAGAACGTTGCATTATTCTGCATCACATTGTTGTGGGCATATGAAAGCATTCAAGTTTTGATACCAGTCTTTCCATTTTCCATTTTTAACCCTATCCTTTGGAGAGGCTGTCAGTTGACACACTTGACTATTAAGGAAGGTTTTCACATTTGACAATTTTCTCTTCTTTTTTTAGGCTTTTTAGAAAAGTCCCTTTGAAAGCTCCAAATTTAAACACATCTATGAATGCCTAAAGTAGTTAAGCAATGGGTTTATTTACACATACACTCCTTATTGTTTGTAGAGAGATCTTAAATACCATTGAGTTCATTTATGAAGATCAGTGGGATAATACTGAGGCATTGGAAGTGGCAGTTGTCATTTTTGCCTTTCTTTTTTGTATTTGTCTGCCCTAGGTATTTGCTTTGTCCACGCATCCTTATGGCTGCCGAGTGATTCAGAGAATCCTGGAGCACTGTCTCCCTGACCAGACCCTCCCTATTTTAGAGGAGCTTCACCAGCACACAGAGCAACTTGTACAGGTAGTGGAGTGGCCAGGAAGTGAACAGCAAACACTGTGGGCTCGTGCAGCCCAGAGTTGGTGTGTTCTGTCAGCATAGATTCCAGAAGAGGTTAATGTGTTCATAATGCCATTCAATCTTTTGGGCATGGTTTCAGCATAGCAACCTTGTTTATGTTTTATGAGTATGAATAATAAACAGAGCCCTGGCCTTGGGGAGAGGAGATCTGGCTTCCAGAATTGTTATGGACTAGCTATGTCATCTTAGGTAGGCCATTTAGCCCTTCTAGGTCTCAATTTTATCATTTTATCATTGTCTAGTGAACTAAGTGGATTTTTTGGCTTTGACACTTTCTGTGCTTCTACTCCTGGTTAAATGATTAGGTATGCCTGTTATGTTGGGCATAAGTGTTTTCAGTTTTTCCCTGTTAGAGAGAGATGCAGTAAATCATTTGTATCTAAGTTTGAAAAAAAAAA